ACAGAGGATCTGTCAGCACCAAACAGTTCAATAAACTGAGTCATGGTAAGAATGATATTAAGCCTTTTGTATTTTAAGAAAGAATTTTAAACTGCATTTAAAACTATCAATGTCATAACACAGACCTCAAGTTTATTAGGATTAGGTCTATCACTTCACTATGAATTCTTGGGAACATAACCTCTCTGTCTCAACATTCTTTAGTTATTATAAAATTGTATTTATACTGTTGATAAATATTTTGCCCACAAGGGAAAGCCGTGCAAGTTACCGGTGACATATTTGATATGCCAAACACAGTAACAAGTCTCACAATGGTACTGGGCCTGCTTGAGCAAATCTATGAACGAGAGGACAGTGACAGTGACAGTGACAGTGTCGATAAGATATTTGAAATACATTAAACCCTTAATATATATCAGGAATTAGAAGAAAGTCATTTGGTTGAGTGTTTAAAATACTTGTTATTTCTAAAGCTAAACCTAGATTTGTATAGTTATGTTCATTTTTGATATAATACAATTTAGGTAAAATAACGCATATGTACCACTTTGTCTTTGTCTCCATCAAAGAATCAACTTATTTATTCTGATCTTATTCTGATAGTCAAAAAATTATTTTTTGCAAATAAATTCCAAGAACAAGAAACGGGAGGCATCACACACCATGTAATTAAAATATATTGTAAATTTATAATTATCAAAACAGTTTGGCACTGGAATAAAAATAGAGAGACCAGTGGAACAAAATTGAAACGCAAGAGATAAATTCTCAGGTGTTGGATATTAACTTTCAGGAGAGGGAATCACGATCACGATCACGACCACCCTGTTGTTCGTCGATTGCCTCGAGCAGGTGCCAGTAACGTCTTCTTTGTCCTAGCCCTGAGATTTTTTTTTTTTAAAGTGCCATATTCAAGGCTTTTTCAGGGTTAGGAGAATGAGACCCATCATTGTTACTGGTATTTGGCATATTGGGTATACCACGGGGAGTTTGCCAGACTCTGCCGTGTGGGCATGTTACATTTGGTAGCCTGCCAGTTTGACCGAATTAGGAATGAGATGATAAGATGTCGCGCGGCTGAGTCCGGGATGTCCGGGAGCTGAGTGTGATGATCTCTGGATCCTGGCCGTTGTTGGAGTTACACGGCAGTTGGTGGGTGTAACTGTCTAGTTACTGGCAGGTCCGGTCCCAAACTGTGCAGGCTTGGAGATCTCAGCCCCGGGTCCCACACACCTGGGTTCCTCTGTCAGTTCTTTTATGCGTGAGGCTCATCCAAGTGTGTGGAGAGTGCTCCCAGCATGGCCTTGGCTGGGCCTCAGTGGTCTTCAGCTGTTGGGCCCTGGTGGAGACAGTCAGGCATAGGGTAGGAGACTCTGTCTTGTTCTCTCCCAGGAGCTGAGTGTGATGATCTCTGGATCCTGGCCGTTGTTGGAGTTACACGGCAGTTGGTGGGTGTAACTGTCTAGTTACTGGCAGGTCCGGTCCCAAACTGTGCAGGCTTGGAGATCTCAGCCCCGGGTCCCACACACCTGGGTTCCTCTGTCAGTTCTTTTTTTCTATTCTAATGCACTATTCCCAAAGGAGAGGGAATAGTGCATTAAATTTTAATCCCACCATATATTACATCAGAGTAAACAGACAAGGAATTTTTTTGTTACAAAACACTGTAAGGAAAAGGGTATTTTATTATGTAGAAATTCTTAGCTTTCAACATCTGTATTTTCATGATCAGAACTGAGAATAGCAGTGTATTCAATTAATATATACCTCTAATAAAAATTTATAACTTTCACTATACTTTAATAAACATGGTTTAGCACAATAATAACAATATTTTAAAATTACATATGGATGCTGGAACTTATCAAAGAAATCTGCTATGACATTTTTATAAGTACATAAAAGTTTCATAGTTTATCACATACAGAAAAAAAATATCTTAAATCTCTGTATTTCTAATTTCTATTTCTGAAGATAATGAAAGTATCTCTATACAGAAACACAGATGCATAAAAAAACATGATAAAAATAATATAATTGATCAGGGACAAAATATTTTGCAAACACTTGAGAAAACCAAATTAGAATTAAAAGTCTTTGAAACTCATACAGGTGGGGAATTCCCAACTCTGGGGAGAACTAAGAGTCAATTCTATTGATTCCTGATGTCTCAGGGAAACATCCTTTAATTCCAGTGGGAAATCAGTGAAGGAGAAAACTTTGATTTCTTATTCCCCACTTCCCCAAATTATGTTCAATACAGTGGTGCAGAAGCAATAGGAGTCATTTTCTGCATCATCACCTAGAAATGCTCTTCATCTGTCTCTGAAATGTAGAAAGATAAGTTGGGAACAAACTTCACTTCATAGCCAGTCTCTGAATATACGTTTATCTACAGAAAATAAGAGACAGCCAGCACCAGACATTTCAATAAGCTGAGTTACGGTAAGAGTCATAATAAGTCTTTTGTATTTAAAGGAAAAATTTCAAACTGCAATTTAGGACTAAAAGCTATGCATATTATAATGAACCCCTTAAGTTTAATAGAATCTTAAGTTTATCACTAAGTTATGAATAATTGGACTAAAAATATAACTTTTCTGCTTCAGGATTATTCAGTTTTAGTTTGAACTATAATCTTTAAAACCTTCAGTAATGTGGAAAAGTAAAATTTTATTTCTATTGTCAATAAGACATCAAGCACTCAATAAATAACAGACACTAGAAAGTAAACATTTGCTAGAATGTTTGAAATACTTGCTATTTCAAGAGCTAAACCTGTTGTTGTGTAGTTATCTTTACTTTAAAATTAAATATGAGTTAGATAAAATGTAGTATATGCACAACTTTGCCTTTGACTTTATTATTGTAATTCTCTCATTTATTAAACCCCCCCAAATTTTTCCCACTCCATTGTTTTAGATTTTGAGGTTGAATAATAAGGAGTTAGAAGTTTCTGAATCACTGTTGTTTATATTTCAGGTGTTTTTCCATATAGAACATCACACTTTGTATACTTACAAAATGTCCTGGCATAAAGGATTATGAAGTACATGAAACTCAATAAAATGTTATATAAATCACAGAGCAAAAGTCTTTCACTTACAAGTAAATCCAGATAACTTTCTTTGAATGTACCTAATGATACGCATAGTTTTAAATTTATGCCTCAGAGTTGATCAGGTATATTAAGGTAACAAAATCTCTGTGCTAGTTTTGCATTAGTTTTGTCTTTATCATATACTCAAAATGAACTAAATTCTAGAAAAGCAAAAAATAAAAGTACCATGTTCATTAAAAATATAGAGTCAGACACAAATAAGGGATTTTAACATTCCATTAATACTAAGAATATAATGCAGGTAAATGTGCAAAGCTATATTCTGAGAAAATTATGTAGTAAGGAAACTAAAAATTATGAAATTCCCAAATAAGAAAGTAAATGTTTAAGTCCAGACAGATATGAATTGTTGCTTATAAATTTGGATCCTTGTTCCTTGACCAACATCTGTTCTATGTTTGAAATGATACATAAACAAATAAATTTTTAACTGGTAAATTTGGATATTAAGAAATAAGATTGGAAGCTGTTTAGGAAATAGTGCTTCACCAAGTATTTTGCTGGTACTACTTAGAAATCATGATAGTATTTTATAGTATTAGTTTTTTTATGATTTACATTTATAAAAAATTTTATTGAATCAGTGAGATACACAGTTACAAGATTGTTCATGCTTGAGTTTCAGTTACATAATTTTCCAACACCCATCCCTTCACCAGTGTACATATCCTACCAACAGTGTCCCAGTTTCCCTCCACAAGTCACTTTCTCTCTCTCTCTCTTTCTCTATTTCCTTTTGGTCATTGTAGTTTGCAATACAGATCTCCCTCTCTGTATTTACTTCCTTTTAGTCATTGTAGTTTGCAATGCAGGTACTCACAGGTTATTTTTGTATATTCTTTTGTCTACTTTCAATACTCAGTTCTTTTCCACAGTGATCACATCTAACTGTTATTTTCATGATGTTCCCTTCTCCATCCTACCGCCTCTTTGCCCTTCCCTTACCCCAACACAAACACATGTGTGGTAAGCTTCAAACAATTGACCATTCCTCCTGGCCCCTTTTTCTTTGGCCTCAGGTATTATTCTCATGCTATTTCTTTTGTATCTCACAAATGAGTCCAGTCATTCTATATCTGCTTATAAATGGATGGGCATGGAGACTATCATGCTGAGTGAAATGAGAAGGAAAGGGACAGATAAAGCATTATTATTAGTAGTATTAATATTTTTACCTTAAAATTTTAATTTTAAAATAATAAAAAATAAACCAACATATAGTGATTTGTTATGTGTTTGTACATGTATAGAGTTCAATAGTTTAGGAAAGAGTTCCCTTTAATATAACCTGACTAACTCATCTTCAAAGTCCTTCATTTCAAATAATACCAGGAATTACTTTGGGCTGTTTGTGGTTTTGAAATGCCTCTGAAGCCTTTTTTTCACCCTTTTCTAGAGAAGGTATTCTCCTGAAAAGGAGCTTCATGGCATTTGATGTCTGTTCTTACAAGGTGATGCTCGTCATGACCAATGAACAGCCGTCCTCAACTCCTCAGAACTAGAACATGGCTGCAGAATTCCTATCAGCAACTTAATGTAGGAAACCACGATTAAGTGATCTAGGTTAATACTGCGGAAAAATTTACTGCCTAACCTATCACATGTGGGTTTGCTCCTCTACAAATCCCATGTTATCATCATTCTTATACTATTTTGCGACTTAGTAAACTTATTTCCCCCGATCTCTCAATATTACCTGCAACAAATTTTTGCTTCTGTGATTTCAATCATAAATCAAGCATAAAATATAAAGTACAACATGGATGCATAATATGTGGATAACTGTGGCAGTAAACCTGTCTGATGTAACCTTTTCATTCTTAAATTGCAGATGCAAATATTTAGCGTGGTAGCTCTGGATGCTTCCTGGTAAATCATGCAAAACCAAAGCTTTATAACCGAGTTTGTTCTCCTGGGACTTTCAGAGAAACCACATGTACAGAAAATTGTTTTCATTATATTCCTGTTCATCTACATTGCAACAGTCTGTGGGAACCTGCTTATAGTGGCGACCATCATCAGCAGTCCAGCACTCATGGGCTCCCCGATGTACTTCTTCCTGGTTTTCCTGTCCTTACTGGATGCATGTTTCACCTCTGTTAGTGCCCCTAAAATGATTATAGACTGCCTCTACGAGAAGAAAACCATCTCCTTTGGAGGTTGTATGACCCAGATCTTTGCTGTGCACTTCTTTTCAGGGGCAGAGGTGATTGTCCTCACCGCCATGGCCTATGACCGGTATGTGGCCATCTGCAAACCCTTGCACTACACTTCTATCATGAACTCAAGACTCTGTGGCATTCTAATTGGAGTAGCCTGGACAGGGGGCTTTCTGCATTCCATTATACAAATTCTCTTTACTTTTCAACTTCCTTTCTGTGGCCCCAATATCATTGATCACTTTATGTGTGACCTGTACCAAATACTTAAACTTGCCTGCACTGATACCTATATCTTTGGCCTTTTGGTGGTGGCCAACAGTGGATTCTTCTGCATCCTGATCTTTTCCATGTTGCTTGTGTCCTATAGTGTCATCTTGTTCTCCCTGAGAAATCACAGCACTGAAGGACAGAGGAAAGCCCTGTCCACCTGCGGAGCTCACGTCGCGGTTGTGGTTTTGTTCTTTGTTCCATGTATAGTTGAATATGCACGGCCTCCAGCTTCTTATTACTTTGACAAAATAATGGAGATATTCTGCAGTGTTCTAACTCCTTTACTTAATCCTTTGATTTATGCTTTCAGAAACAAGGAAGTGAAAAATGCCATGAAGAATCTGTGGAATAAAATAATGGTCGTTTCTGTTGAAAAATAAAGCTTTCTGGTTTGAAGAAAAATAAAATTAAGTATAAAAATAGATTAACTGGAAGACTTCTCTATTTGATTTCCTTTTTTTTGACTTTTGTATCACATCCAGCGATGCTCAGGGGTTACTCCTGGCTCTTCACCCGGGAATAACTCGTGGCAGTACTGGGGAACCATGTGGGATGCCAGGGATTGAACCTGGGATGCCAGGAGTTGAACCTGGGTCAGCATCGTGCATGGCAAATGCCCTACCTGCTGTACTATCGCTCCGCCCCAGACTTCTTTATTTGAAAGGTCGTTTTTACATTGATCTTGTCAAACAAAAATAATCTATTAACTAGAGATTCAGAAAATATATGTTCACTCTATATGTCTTATAGATTCTGAGAAGACATTCATATAATAGTTAAATTATGCATTAATTCACATTCATATTTAGAATCTAACGATGGAAAAAAGAAATGTATAAAAGAGGTAATTTAAAATGATTCAAAGACCTTGATATAAGAACTAAATTCATAAATTATATTGAGAGACATAAATATGAAAATGTGTCTCAGGGGAATATTCCAGGGGTCAGCACACTCATAATAAAACAAACCACAAACAAAAGCTGCTACTTCAAACTAAAAAGTTTCAGAACTCAAAATGGTACTACAGCTAAAATAAAGATAATTTACTGAATTGGGTGATATTTTCCTTCACAAAACCTCTGGCAAATGTTTACTAGCTAAGATATATAGAGAGCTCACAAAACCTAGAAACAAAAAGCAAGAAAACAGAATAATGACAGAGAATCTGAAAAGAATGATTCTCCCATATGAAAAATGTTCTGTACTATGCCAAGAAATATCATAATGGTTAGGGCAAAAGCTGGCATACTCCTGATTTTTTAATCTCTGGCAACACATGGCCTCATGAGCATCATTGATTTGTTACCCTAGAGGTTTCCAGAACCACTAGATGTTGCCATGTAGACCTCCAAGCACCATAGCTCTGACTAATCCTCAGCGTGGCCAGGACTGATAGGCACAATATCCTAAACCTCCTACTCAAAAGATGCGTTGGATAAAAGCATCAGAAAATTGCACCCAGGACTTTGGAGTTCTGCCTAACATCTACATATATATTGCATATGCATACATGTCATAGAATATTTCTCAGATATCAGAAAAATAAATTCCTGTTGGTTTCAATAATTTGAATGAAACTGGAGAATAGCAGGGTAAGAAAATCAACCAGGAGAAGGAAAACAAATTTGAGATCTCAGTCATATGTAATATGTAAGTTATAAATGAAAGATAGGCAATGGACAATGAACATTTAAAAGAAACTCTGGAACTCTTACTTACTGCCCCTCTCCTGAAAGAAAACAATTATCTCTCCTGAAAGAAAACAATTATCTCAATTCTATTTCTCTATGGGAACTAAGTGCACTTAATTTTTTTAACCATCAATTAATTGAGTCTTTAAAGTTCTAAGACATTATTCGACATCCATTTGGAGCTGGAAGTTAATACAGCATCTCTAGTTCTTTAGTCTCAACTAATACTCAGAATAATCCAATTGTTTTATTTAAAGATTAGCTTTATTTTGGTAAATTGATAATTGAATTAGTAGTGTTTGAAGTATTTCTACTAAAAATAATCCAGTATAACTTTCTCATTGTATACTTGAGTGATTCGTGAGTTCAGTCAGGATTAAACCTTGAACATCATGACTTTGGGCAAAAAACCAAAAGTCAAAATATAACCTCATGTATCTCAGGGGAATATTCCAGAGGTCCTGAATAACAGTGAGGCAAATTTATGACCATAATAGTTAAAATAGAAAAAAAAACTACTTCTTATAAAGAAATATTTTAAATAGGTGGATCATAGCCCCAGATATTAAATTATACTATAAAGTTATAATTATCAAAACTGCATGCTTCTGGAATAGAAACAGAGAGAGCAGTGGAATAAAATCAAGATTCCTGAGGTAAATTCTCATATTTATGGGCTCTTAATTTTCAAAAGAGGGGTTAGGTGCATTAAACTTTAATTCTACCATATTCGACTGGGAGCAAACACCAGATAACTTACATTATAAAGCATTGAAAGACAAAAATGCTTTATTGTCTAAAAATTATATATTATCTTTGAAGTTCTGCAGTATGAATATCATGAACTGAGAATAATAAGGGTTATTAATTTAATGTATACTACTTATAAAAAATTTCTAGTTTTGTTATAATTAAATAAATATGAAATAGAACACTAATAACTATATTTGACATTACAGATTGATTTTGGATTCTTATCTCAGAATTCTACCCTGTCATTTTTATAAGCAAGCAGAGGTTTTATCCCTTACCACAAAAAATATATTACATCTCCATATGCCTGATATTTTATTCCTGAAGGTAATAAAAGCATCTTCATATAGAAACACAAGCACAGATATACATATGCTATAAAAATATAATTGCTCAGGGACATAAGATTTTGCCAACACTTGAGAAAACCAAAACAGTTAAAAGTCTTTGAAATGATACAGGTGGGGAATTCCCAGCCTTGGGGAGAATTGAGATGCAATTCTACAGGTTCATGATGTCTCATGGAAACATCCCTCATTCCACTGGGAAATCAATTGAAAAGGAAACTGATTTCTTATTCCCTCCTTCCCTAAATCATGTCCAGCACAGTGCTGCACAAGCAGTAGGAAACATTCTCTGCATCTTCAACTAGAGTTGCTCTTCCTCTGTCTCTCTGATGTAGAAATAAGATGTGGACCCAACAGTCACTCTTTGGTCAGTTCATGGAGAATTAGAGATTGCCAGGACCAGAACATTCAATAAACTGACACATGGTAAGGTTAAGCATTACACTTTTGTATTTTAAGGAAGAAATTCAAATTGAAGATTAGGACTTAAAACTGTAAATGGTATAACCCAACCCTCAAGTTTAATAGAATTTTAGGTTATAAAATTACATTGTAAGATAAAAAACTATAGCTTAACTGTGCATACTGACCTAATACGTAACCTTTCTGTCTCAGGATTCTTCACTTTGAATAGAGATTATAGTCTTTATAAAGTCAAGAAAAACATTGTAACGTTTTACATTTAATATCAATAAGACAACATTTGAGATTCTTTAATCACTCAATCAGTACTGCATACAAGAAGAAAAACTTTTGGTGGAGTAATTGAAATAATTGCTATTTAAAAAGCTTAAACCTTTTAACTTTATTACCAAAAAAAAGCTTAAACCTGCTTTCTATACTTATGTTCTTTTTCAAGTTAAATGCAAACTAGGTAACATGTAGCATGTTCATCACTTTGCCTTTGTCTCAGCAGTACTTTATTCTTTCTTAATTTCTTATGTCTCAAGGCATCCAAAAAGTCTTCCTACCCTGATGTTTTGGATATCTGTGGCTTTGTGAGTTAGTGTTGTTTATAATTTAGAGGGTTTTTTATTTTTATTTTTTAAATGAATCTAGGAGACAAACTCTTACAAAGCTGTTCATGATTAGGTTTCAGACATACAGTGTTCCAACACCCACCCCTCCACCAGTGCAAATTTCCCAGCATCAGTGTCCCCAATTTCCCTCCCATCACCCCCACAATCCCCACTATAATTTAGAGTTTTGATAGAGAGCTAACACTTAACATCAAAAAGCTCTAGAAAACAGGACAAGGAAGTAAAAAAAAAATGCAACAAGTTATTTAAGTTGCAGAGCAGTTTGTTTCACGTAGAAGGAAATTTACTTATTTTTGTACGATTTTGATAATACAAAAAGCTGAATACTTATACCTCAGAATTAAGCAGGTACATTTAAATAATTGAATCTCTCAGCTGTTTTTCAATCATCTGTATCTTATTTTAATTTTAAAATGAGCTAAATATCTAACAAAACATTAAATAAAGGTAGTCCACTCATCAAAAGCAAAGAGATGGAAAGTATGAAATGTACATCAAACATTCCAACAATGCTAAGAACATAACAGTTGAAATATGAACTCTACATTCTATATTTAAAAAGTATGAAATCTCAAATGATAGAGTTCTGAGATGATCATAAGTCTATGATAAATAAGTCCAGGCTAAATGCATAAGTCTAGATGTAAAAATTTCTTTGAGATAAGGTGTAAAACTAGCTCAAAATACAATATATTTATGGAACTTTAGTGGGGATATATTAATAGTGTACAATTCTATTATTTTGAATGTACCCCTTTAATCTTATTATCTCATTCTTGCTTTGGACAACCTGGCAGGCTACCAAATGTAACCTGCCCACACGACAGAGTCTGGCAAACTCCCCGTGGCCTACCCAATATACCAAATACCAGAAACAATGGTGGGTCTCATTCTCCTATCCCTGATAGAGCCTTGAATATGGCACTTTTTAAAATCTCAGGGCTAGGACGAAGGAGATGTTACTGGTGCCTGCTCAAGGCAATCGAGGAAAAACAGGATGATCGTGATCGTGACCCCTTTAATATTACTCATACACATGTATCAGTACACGTAAATACACTTAATTTTTACTGCTTAATATATAATTGAAGTAAGTTGATTCCAATGAAACTGTAATATTTTATCTAGTGCTGAATGTATTATATACTGAAAATTAATACATGAATTTCTATTATTTTGGGGATTTGAATTAAGGATTAGTCTTTTATGGAAAATTCATAATAAATATGGAACTACTAGGGAAGCAAACTATCCAATTTTATAACCTTAAGAAATAGCCAATGGGTTCCCTAGTGATAGTACAGCAGATAAGGAGCTAGTCTTGCACACGCTTCATCCCCTGCATGCCACGCGGTCCCCAGAGCACCACCGGGTATAATAACCAGTGCAGAGCTAGGAATAAATTCTGAGTATATCCGGTGTCCCCCACTCTCCAAAAGGGGAAAAATTAATTGCCAGGTTCCGGAGATCATGACCTCAGGGATCTCTGAGTCACCCTGAAGGCACTCCCAGCTCATTATAAACATAGTTTTGAAGGTAGCCCAAA